ATAACATATACATATAGTATATAATATATATGAGAAAAAATATATATATAATCTCATTCCACAGATAAGGAAACTAAAGCTTACAAAAATCATATAAATTGACTGGATAAACACTGGTAGTATTCAGATATGAATCCAAGTCAGTTGGACTATGAAGTTCAGGCTATTTTAGCTAAACCAATAAAGCAATAGAGAAGTTATACTATTGAGGTCTTCAGAAGATTCCAAAGTCAGAAACATGTACACTTTTGTGCTCAGGAATGGGCTACTGAAAAACAAGAACATGGCGGTCTTAGCAAAAGCAGTCTCTGTTCATGACTGATCTAGGAATTGGACTAACTATTGTTATCTAGGAGGGAGCAATCCCAGCGTTACCTGATGGCCAGCCTCTTTTCTGAAGAGGGCATCAATGATGTAGTATTGAAGCATATTCTGAGCCACATGTTGGTTCAATAACTGCTCCATCAATTTTTAGCCATTTGCCCTTGAAAAATTTTCAAAATTAAGTGAGAAAATATTTACTAGAAAATATGACTTACAGTATCAATTTAAACATGTCGCTTATATTTTGAACCCTAGAACTATGGTTCTAGAACTCTATTTCCTCATCTGAGGTTCTATAACTTTCATCTTTCATGGTTCAATCTAAGTCCACCATGTTGGTATATAAAGCCAAGTACAGAAATCAATCTTTATTTTTCCTACATGCTTAAATCTGTCTAGAGATATTTTCAATCTATGACTTTTCTTTAAAGGCTGAAGACTGCAACTTAAAATTTATTTCCTTTATGCACAGATAATGTTTCTCGGAGAAGTACGAGTGGTTCTCTCTTCATCGCCCTACTCATAAGTCATGTTCAAAAATATTCTTGGTGTTTTCACCTGACAGAAATATTTATGATGGTAAGTACCATGTTACCTGTTACACTATTTATTTATTCATCTAAGCCAAAACCAATGTATATGATAATCCATCTACATATTTTACATAAATTATAGGATATCATTCAAACTGTGGCTCATCTTCCATTTTGATCATTTCCAAAGTACTAAGATTTAATAGGCAAAGAGCGTTAATACATGCTAAACTTCTGCATTCAAAAGATTAAAAATTTGAGAGACAAGGGAGAGAAATATTAAATACAAAATATTATAGAGAAAATTATGGCCTATAAAGATAACATATGATATGGAATAATATTTACTTAAATATTCAGATTATGAAAAAATTTTGCTATAAAATGTATTTTTGATAAATATTTATTGGTTTTCTTTATAAATAGGACCTAGGCCAGCCCGATGCTGATAAAACAATAAAACAATAAAAACAAACAAACAAACAAACAAAGACACTGTCCCTGCTTTCATAGCTAATATTCTAATACAGGAGTCCCCAAAGGCCCGGGCACACACTGGTACCAGTTTGTGGCCTGTTAGGAACCAGGCCGCACAGCAGGAGGTGAGTGGTGGATGAATGAGGTGTATTTGCAGTTGCTCCCCAGCACTAGCATCATCACCTCAGCTCTACTTCAAGTCATCAGGCATTAGATTCTCATTGGTAAATCTACTCTTGGTGCCCAAAAGATTGCAGATCACTGTTTTAATAGGAGATATAATAGTAAAATAACATATTATTCAAATACATAATTTCGAATTTCTAGGGAAAAGGGTAACAGGGTTCTGTGAGAGAGAATAGGAGAAAAGTTCTAGGTTAGATGTAGTCATCTTATCTGTAAAGTGAAAGTTTGGTGTCATAGGGCAATTTGTGGTGTTTTTGACTGGCATAAAAAGTATTTACTGGTCAATGGAAGAGAGATGGCAGGGAGTGGAATATAAGTAAAAAAGAATCTGAGTTAAGAATCTGAGTAATTCTTGTCATAAGGGACAAGAATTTGGGATGGTTGCTTACATATCTTGGCTGTTATAAATAATGCTAGATATCCATTGAAAGATAAATGGATAAAGTAGATGTGGTACATATATATGGATAAAGTAGATGTGGTACAGCCATAAAAAATAATGAAATTTTGTCATTTGAGACAACACAGATAAACCTGTGTTGATGGTACTATACTGAGCGAAATAAGTGAAATAAGTCAAACAGAGAAAGACAAATATGTATAATTTCATTTATATGTGGAATCTAAAAATCAAAATAAACAAACAAAACAAAAAGAACAAACTCATAGATACAGAGAACAAACTAATGGTTGCCAGATGGGAGGGAGGTGGAGTATGGGCAAAAAAGGTGAACGGAATAAGGAAGTACAAACTGCTAGTTATAAAATTAGCCATGGGGATATAAAGTACAACAACTGTAATACCAGGAAGGTCTCTAGAAAATCCCCAAATATTTAAAATTAAATAATTCACTTCAAAACAACATATGGATCAAAGGAGAAATTAAAATAGAATGACCATTTCAATAGACACAGAACAACCATTTGACAAAATCCAACATCCCTTCCTTATAAAAGATTATTGGCAACTTAAGAGGAGAACATTCTTACAGTAATGAAGAATATCTATGAAAATTCTACAACAAATATCATATTTAATGGCAATAGATTGAATAGTTTATACCCTAAGATCAGGAATGACACATCTCTATGCCTGTCTCTTCAGTAAAAATGGGAAATATAGTAACACCTGTCTGGGAGGGTTGAAGTATGGATTTAATGAGATGTTCCACACAAATCCCCTGGCATAGGTCCTAGCACATAGAAAATCTTCAAGAAATGAAGGCTATACAACTATTGGGGGTGGGAATAAAGGGTGAGGCACACAGAAAAAACTTGGAGAAAGAAATAAAGAAAATATAGAAAAATGTAAACGATCGAAGGTGAACATACTGTTGTTCACTGTAATATTCTCCCCTCCCCAACTTTTCTGTATCATTGACAAGAAAAAAAAAACATAATTAAAAATTTTGGAAAAAAATTTTGAGAAAAATTTTGAGTCCAGAAATAGACTCAAACATACATGGAAAACTGATTTTTGGCAAAATTATTAAAGCAATTCGGTAGAAAATAGAATATTTTCAACAATTGGCACAAGGACAATAGGATATCCATATGTAAAAATAGTGAACTATTCACACCAGAACCATATAAAATATCAACCCCAAATGTACTTGAGACCTAAATATAAAATCTATAATTATAAATCCTCTAGAAAAAAATTAGAAGAGAATTTTCTGTGACATTGATTATGCAATTATTAGACATGACATCAAAAGCACAATCCACTAAAATAAAATATTTGACAATAATAAAGTTATGTTCTTTTCTATAGACATATTTAGGAGATTGAAGAGACAATTATAGATTGGAAAAAAACATCTAATTTTTTCATAATATAAAAGCACTTTTATCCATAAGATATAAAGTTTTATGACATGTAAAGCTCTTATTCATAATATACAATAAAAATAACTCTCAATACTCAAATATGAAAAAAATAAAACTGAAACGACTAAAAAAATTTTTTTTACAACTAAAATATTGAGCGGACACTTTACGCACAAAAAAATCATAGCAAATTAGTGTGCATAAAGGTGCTCATAAGTCATGAGAAAAAAGCAAATTAAAACTAAAATGATTAGTAATGAATACCTTTTTAATGGATAAAATTAAAAAGACTGAGCTCACTGAATGTTGTAGTGTTTGTGTGGGAACTGAAACTTGCATGCACTGCTGGTGACAATGTAAAATGGCACATTCACTTTGGAAAATATTTGAAAAGGCTTTTAAATGGCTAATCATACATCTTCCACATGACCCAACCATTACTGTTCTATGTATTTACCCAAGAGAAATGAAAGTATATGGTCTTACAAATACTTGAACATGAATATTCTTAACAGCTATATTTGCGATAGCTCAAAACTGAAAACAAATATTCATTAACAGTTTAAAGGACAAATAATGAATGTTGTATTCATACAGTTGAATACTACTCAGCAGTAAAATGAATAAATTATTAATGCATATAACTTCATTGATGAAACTAAAAATAATTATGCTGAGTAAAAACAGTAAAATATAAAAATTATACCTCTTGTATAATTTTATTTATGTAAAATTCTAAAAAATACAAGCTAATCTATATTAACAGAAAGCATATTATTACTTGCTGGGAAATGGAGGTGAAGCAGTTGGGAGAAGACGCTATTACAAAAGGTCATGAGATTTCACTTATATGTAGAATCTAAGAAACAAAAAGAACAAACTAATCAAGAACAGACTCAAAAATATAGTGGACAATTTAGTGACGGACAGAGGGGAAGGGTTTTGGAGTCTGGGAGAATGGGGTGAAGGGTTAAAGAAGTACAAATTAGTAGTTGATTGTTGGTCACAGGGATGGGGAGCACGGCAGAGGGAATGCAGTTAGCATTAATATATTGGCTAGGTGGAGGGCCAGGGGAGGGAAGGTGCAATTGGGGGGATCATTCTATAAACTATATAGATGTCTAATCAATGTACTGTATACTCGAAACCAATTAAAATAAATAAATACTTTTTTAAAAAAAGGTCATGAGAAAACTTTTGAAGGTTTTAGATATGTTTATTATATTAATCGTGGTGATGATTTATTTACCAGTATACAAATTGTTCAGTTTAATATGTGCAGTTTATTGTACATCAATTCTCCTTCAATAATGCTCTTTTATTTATTTTTTTTCCAATTCTGGGAATGAGCAATAAAGTTAATTGTATAATTGAGGTTGATGAATATATTAATTTACTCGGGCTGCCATAACAAACTACCACAAATTGGGTGGCTTAAACAACAGATATATATTTCTCGCAGTTCTGGAGGCTAGAAGTCCAAGATCAAGGTGTTGAGAGGGTTGGTTTCTTCTGAAGCCTCTCTCCTTGGCTCACAGATTGCCTCCGTTTTTCTGTATCCTCATGACTTTTTCTCTGTTCACCCACATTCCTGATGTCTCTTCTTGTGTCCACATTTCCTCTTCACATATTCTGAGTTACTTGGGATTAAGGCTTAACCACATGGATTTTGGGAAAACACAATGCAGCCCCATAACACTGGGGCCTTGGATTTAGTGGGAATTTATTCAAAGGTAAAGATTAAGCTCTGACTTAGAGTATCAAGTCAGGGGTGTCAATGAGGACTTGTCAGCATTATTAAGGGCTTGATTCCTTTTGGGGATTGTGATAGATTTTCTTCCCTGACATCTCTATAAATATCCTCAATCATAACCATCATCATATTGGCCCGTGGTACAGTGGGTTCTCTGTTTCCACACAAGATGCAGGACCCAAAGCTTGCTTTTTTTTTTTTAATTTTCAGGTTCAATGATCATTTGAAGAACCAGGTGTTAAAACCCAGGTGTTAAAGACAAACTATGACCAGACATTTTTACTTCTTTCCAGGCAATTAAAATTAGTAAGTACCCATAGCTGATGTTAACGAATCAGGAACTTGACTAAAGTAGGAAACAGAGTGGTGACAGGTTATGCAAAATAAGCTATACAATATTTTGTAATTTTTTTTTTATTCTTGCATTCTAATATCTATAAAAAATAAAATATTGTCCTTCGATTATGGACCAGTAACTGGTATTAGTGTTGTCTTTCTGCCATAAATAATTAAAAAACTAGGAAAAATATTTGAAATAGCTGTTTTCAGATATTGGACAATGGAAAGTACAGAACTGCTTTTGCTAAGAGAAAGGAAACAAATAAGGTAAATCATAAAATTTTGCCTACACCAAGCACAGTTTTTGGCTAGGATAAAATTTCAGTTATACAGTAAAAGAAGAAATAACAAGTGAAATATGATAGTATCAATGAGCTGAGAAGGCCTCAATCAGATTTCAAGTATGTTGAGGCAGCTGAAATGTGAAAAATTCCAGAAGTGAGGGAGATAGGTATAAAAAGACCTCCAAATAGCTACAGAGTAGTCCTCTTGAGTCTGTGAATGAATATCAACATCCATTTTTATAGGATGACTAGGAGCCCAGGAATAGGACCACTATTTGGGACGTCAATACTTGGTGCAGTTCACACAGCATTGGTAGATGTTTGAATTTTAACCATGCCAAATGGGCAGAGTAAGTGAACATGAGTAGAGACACCAGAGGGGTTATGACTTTGTAGTTGGACTAAAAAAAATCCTGGACTAAAACTACTCTACATCTTCCCTAGCAACACTTTAAAAACAAATCTTGAAATAATAAAAATGATCCATGAATAAACTTAAGATCTCTCCAAAACAAGTGTCAATACTCTTTAAATAAAATTATTTAAAATGAAACATATGAATATGTAATATTTCAATGTCTACCTGGCAGCATATAAAAAATTACTGCAAGTTTAAAGAATTGTCAAAATGTTACTTGACACTAGAAAAAAGTTATTAAATATAAATTGACCAAAAAAAAGTGAAATTAGCAGACAAAGACTTTAAAAGAATATTAAAAATCAGCTTAGTAATATTAAAAAAACCATGACCTTAAAGAGAGAAAGTGAAATATGGTGAAAAATCCCAAACTGAATTTGAGGAGCTTAAAAGGATAATATATGAAGCGAAACATTCATTGAATGTAGTTAACTGCATATTAAAAACTGTAGGAAAAAAACTGAACTTGAAGTCTTACCAATTGAAACTATTCAAATCAAAGCATAGAGAAAAAACTAAATAAACACAGAGCCTCAGTAATCTGTGGGATAATAACAAATATTCATGTAATTGGGTCCCTAGAAGTAGAAGTAAGGGGTACAACAAATATTCTCAGAAATAGTGACCAGCATATTTCCAAAATCAATGAAAATTATGAACTCACAGAACCAAGAAACTCAATGAGTTCTAATACAAATAGCCAATATTTTTTTTTTTTTTTTAAGCCACAGGAAAAGGACAAATTACGTATAGGGGAACAAAAATAAAAATGATTGCAAACTTATCGTCAGAAATATTACAACATAGAATACAATGAAATGACAATTTTTAAAATGCTGAAAGAAAAACGAAATTACAGCCTAGATACCTATTTCCAGCTAAGATACCATTTAAAAATAAAAAAGAAGTAAACTTACAAAGCCAAGCAAAAGAAGAGAGCTAATAAACCACAACTACAGTGAATAATTAAATTAAATTAAAATGAAATCAAAGGAGGTTCTTCAAGACAAAAAAGAAAAAAGAATGCACCAGAAAATTTAAATCTGAAGAATCAAAAGTCCCATACTTTTTAAAGGCTCTTTAGTTTCATTTAAAAAATGTATTTGAAGATAATTGTTTAAAGTAAAAATATAATGTATTGCAAGATTTATAATTTATTAAGAATTTAAATATATGACAGCAATAACACAAGATTGGGGAAGTATATTATTACAGCTAATCACATTATATGTAAGTAAGAATACTATTTGAAGGTAGAATGTAGTAAAGTAAAGGTATAGTAAAATCTATAACAACGTCTAAAAAATAGTGGTATAGCTAATAACAGATAAAATAAATACTAAAAAGTAATACTCAACTAGCCAAAAGAAAACAGGAAAAAAGAATAGATGAGACGTAGGAAAAAAAAAAAAAACAGCAAGATGTCAGGTTTAATCTGAACTGTATTATTAAATATCATTTAAATTTATAATTTAAATATAATTACTTATAATTTATCTATGGACTCTGAATAAAAGACACAGACTGTTAGAACAAATTAAAAAAGTAAAACACAATTCTATGCTGTCTAAAATGAATGTACTTTAAATGTAAAGTATATGTCTGATAAATTCAAAAGACAGAAAAAGAGACAAAATTCAAACCCATAGTAAAGAACCTAAAAATCACAGACCACATAAGGAAAAAAAGATAAATTGGGCTTTGTAAAATTAAAAATTTTTAGTCCTCAAGATACCATTCATAAAATTAAAAAGCAAACAATAGGTTGGAAGAAAATATTCATCATACATATATCTGACAAAATCTTGTATCTGAATATTTAAATACAGCTCAATAAGAAAACAAACTGCTCAATAAAAAAGTAGACAAAGCTTTGAACACTATAAGAAAAAAGATACACAAATGGTCAAGAAGTACATGAAGTAATGTTCAACCACTTTAATCATCAGGAAAATGTAAATCGAAGCCAAAGCAATATATTACTATGGTAATAACCTACAAGTCACCCAAATATCTGCTGTGTGAATGGGTAAATAAACAAAATTATAACAAAATGAAGTGCATTGTTACATTTATATATATATATACTTTTTATATA